ACTATACTATACTATACTATACTATACTATACTATACTATACTATACTATACTATACTATACTATACTATACTATACTATACTATACTATACTGTTTGTGTCTGTGTTAGTCTTAGTTACCTCGCTGAGCCTTACAATCACAAGCTTAAGTCATTTTAAGAGGGTTTACCCTAAAAGAATGCGCGTAGAAAATATTGAATGAGATGAGAAGTTTTCTTTTTATATTGTCAGGGCAGACTGCATCATATTATAAAAAATGAACTATTGAATTCGAAGGGATTCTCTTGCTGTAAATATACGTTAAATACATCCATCTTTTGCATGAATTTTAACAAAATCTTTCTTCACTTCCTTCCAAGGATTGTAAATTCACTTCATTTCAAGGATTCACTTCATTCATTCCTTGTAAATGGTACAGTTACGCGCATATTTATTGGCAACTTTCAACTCTAAATTTAAATATTGCACCCTCGTCCAAGATACTGACGAAATATTAGTGTGCTTGTATTAATATGCTAGCCTGTAATCGTGTAAACTAATTTTTTACCTTAAAAATATATTATTAATTTAATATTTTCAGGTATATCTTATTTCGTAAATTGATTGTTATTTTCCTCGTGCAAAATTAATGGCAACCTTTACATAAAATCAATTTAACTCATCATTGTTGATCAAGAATATTCTAGTTTGATCTGATGATGACTATACAATATTTCAGAACATTTCAAAACACTATGTGCCTATACTATAAACCTATACGCCAAGTTTGCGCTTGCTCAGTTAGTCGTTGGAGGCAGTCGTATAAACACATCTCCAAGATTTTCTAAATTCAATTATGGCGAAGACTTCTGAATACTCACAGGACATAAGGAAGTGTGCAGTTGAACTACACAACAAAGGAAATGGATTTCGAAAAATATCATCAACTCTGAATGTTCCAATTTCATCCGTAAGGAATATTATTGTCAAGTTCAGGAATGATGGGACCACTGCTAATCGAGCACGAACCAGTAGTAATCGAAAATTAACCGAAAGAGATGTGCGTTCCTGCATGAAAATAGTAAATAAAGACCCGAAGATCACTTCCAAGGAATTGCAATCACATCTGGCTTGTACTGGAAAAACTGTGGATGTGTCAAAAGTGCGACACTACCTGAACCGTGAGGGCCTTCACGGGCGTGTACCATGGATGAAGCCACTGTTGAAGCCAATTCACAAGGAGAAGCGTTTGGAGTTCGCCAGGAAGCACATCGATGCTACTCAAGGCAAAGCTCAATAATATATTGTGGTCGGACGAGACAAAGCTTGAACTTTTTGGTGTGAATGACAACCGCTTTGTATGGAGGAAATCTGGTGATGCTCTGCTGGTAAAGAACACTCTACTATACTGTGAAGCATGGTGGTGGGTCCATCATGTTGTGGGGATGCTTTGCTGCTGCAGGTACTGGGAATATTTCTGTGATAGAGGGCATCATGAATCCTGAAGGATATCAACACATTTTAACTGATAATGTTAAGCAATCGGCATGAAAACTGCATCTTGGACGGGCATTTGTCTTGCAACAGGATAACGACCCTAAGCACACAAGCAAATCAACACAGAAATATTTTGCTACACAGAAATTGAGAGTGTTGGAATGGCCTTCTCAAAGCCCAGATTTAAATCCAGTTGAAAATTTATGGAGGGAACTCAAGAGGCGTGTTCATAAAGGAAGACCCAGCGACATCGAAGAATTGAAGATTTTTGCCATGGAAGAGTGGCGCAAGATTCCTACTATAACATGCCAACACCTCGTAGAAACATACAAGAAGCGTCTGACTGCCATCATTGCTACCAAGGGATGTCACACAAAGTTATAATTAAGAGTTGCCAACAATTTATATGCTTTTTTCAAAATGTTGCTATTACTTTTGCTTTTGGTGTTTTTCTAATAAATATGTATACAACAAAGATCTAACGTTTTACTATCCGTTATGCACAGTAATTAGATGTTCTTTGATCAATTTAACTAAAAATAAATGCAGAAATTTCAATAAATGCTTCAAATTATATTATCTCTCAAATTAAATATTTTTAAGCGTGTTGCCAATAAATATGCGCGTAACTGTAAATGGAATTTCTTTTTAATTACTTAACACAACATGATATTTTTTCTATAATCGCTGCAGTTTCTGTGATCAGGATTAAAAACCGCGCTTTTTCTCCGATTTATTGATATTAATAAAAAGGTGAGAAATATTACAGCATCCAGCTCATTGAGCCTGTAATATTAGAATGAAAATTCATGTTGTGGGTTTGCCTGTCGTAAATTAATCGATGAAACACAATAACAATAATGTTACAGGAAGTATAGAGTAGCTTGTTCATATCTTCAAGTATAAATAATACACAAATTATTATTTAATCAAAATTATTCAGAATTAATGGAAAAATTCACGGTCGTACGACAATATTTAACTTTTATTGCGAGAAAGTTGTCAATATGTGAAAATATTTCAATAACCTCACAATATGAGCGAGTATCCAACGGGAGGAAACAGCGAACATTCTTGAATGTGACATAAACTCAGAAAAATTATTGGATCATATGGTGCAAATAGTGACACACCTACTCGCACACCTACTTTGTGACACACGTAGGTGTGTCACAAATAGTGACACACCTACGCAACCAATACTTTCTTTTACTGAGCAAATCTGGGTTAGGATGACACGCGCAGAGGCAAAAATTGTATCGCTATTTGGACAAAGTTTCTTCATTTCCCTGAGTGCGTGCTTTCACCAGAAATTTCCTGCAATGAAGCCCGCGGTGATGAATTCAAAAATTAAATTTTTTCAACGAAATTTCCTTGCATTATTTAAGAATGAGCGTGACAAATACTTATCGTGAAAGAGGTTACTCCATGACTGAACAATGAAAATATCTTAAGCATACATTATTATTGTATGTAACGGTATATATATAACGGGCAAACTCAAGCGCATATGAAGCATCAGAACACCTATGGTGAAAACTAAACGACGTCTTAAAAAATTTACAGATTATATACATTCGTACAAAAAGTTTTATGGTATAAATTGCCTTGTTTGCAATCTGCGTTTTTTTTTAAATTTATTCGTGAGCATCAAATCACGTGGTTTAAACTACATAAAAGGTTTTTTCCATCATCATATAGTGTAAATTTGATACGATTATTGGTCATTCTAATACAAACTTTCTTACATATTTTGTATACCAATGGACATTATTGATGTTCCATTACGCAATGCAATGAACATTTTTCACCCTGCCAAGTTCGGAAAAAGATTTAGGATAACATTCATTAATAGTTCCGTGTTTCTTATCATTCTGGTATTGATTATTTCATAATGTGATATAATCATATATTATTTAATTGGTATTAGAATTATAACTTTTCCCGTATTGGACAGACAATGACCAAAAAGCAGCAGTATACAGCGCTTAATAATAATGGACGGTCGGAACGTAGCAAGAATACGTAATTGGTAACTTCCATAAGTCAATATACTCTAACCTCTATTTTTGTGGGATTATTTTAGTTTATTATGTGAGGTGTAGTCGAAAATTATATATCAGTATTATATTCGCGCGAATAATTCAATAAAAAATTCATCATACAAGAATGAATGGCACTTGCATAGCTTTTCTTCAAATGCACGCTTCATTAAAATATTACATCCACATTTCAAAGCAATGATGATCGAGAAATTTTGAGTTAGTTGTTACTTCAGAATTTTTATTTCTCTCCAACAAAGTCATAATTAAGCTTTTCAATGACAGGTCTGCACGCTTTTTCTATTTCATCAATAACTTCAGGTTTCAAATTCTCCTTCCATCTCGAAACCCTCGCTGCAGATTTTCTGGCGATACTCCAAGGCTTTTCAACTTCCGACTCGGTGTGCTCCGAAACAAAGTTCGCCATTTCGTTTGAGTAAAACATTCCTAAGAACTCAAACAGTTTCTTTATTTGAGTGTGAGGGTCGTTGGCTATATCCTCGTACCGAACCATCGTGAAGCTTGTAGGGTAGAGACGCTCGAGGGCTGCGGCAACTTTCAGGTCCTCTTTTAGGTCCGAACAAAGCACGTCAGCGGAGGAACAGTCGGGACTGTCGTCGCACCATCGAACCGACGACTTCCGCGAGTTCACCGTAGCCCTGGGATCGCGGATGAGGAAAACTACTTTAGCGTTCAAACGTGTTTCCCCCAGGAAAAGTTGTGTCAAATTCAGACGAAGACGAACGCTTTTCACTAACTGAATAGGGAACATATTACAAGCTTCTGTCAGGAACGTTTCGTTCGAGCAGAGGTCCACACGATGCATTTTGCTACAGGGTTCCCATATCCTCTTGTTGTGGCCGATCATGTCGAGCGGGTGTTGCCTGGTGTAGTTCAGGTAGGTATCTTGTCCACTAAACCTACACTCCAGCAGACGATGGAGGAACTGCTGTGACTGGAAAGCTTCAGTTCCTGATCGAATTTGTCTCACGCCAGCGTAACTGAACGGTTCATAGTGCTGGAAAACGCCTGGGTGTTGTTGAAGAACTTGTCCAAGGAATGTCGACCCAGAACGCCAAGTGGATACTAGCAGAATTCGAAGAGGTGTTACGTCTTTGGCCCAGAATTTTTCCTTATCTTTCATCTGTCGGCGCTCATTTTCCACAGTTTCTTGGACCTTCTGGAGCACTTCGCTATAAGTTTTGGTCTTTGCTAACGCCCTCATCTGGGCGAGTTTGACCCTCCTTTCCTTCTCCAACTTTACGTATTCTTCGTCAACGGGGACGCCGAGTTCTGGATGCAGCATCACGTTCCGGCGCCGCGCCAAGTCCCGCAAGAACATCTCCGATTCTGTTTCAGAAATTAATTTATGTTACCGTTGATTCAGCCATCACGATACATGTTATTGTCTTGATGACGATTATTGTCGTCGATTCGACCATTAAAATACTTTCGTTCAACTTTTCAAATAATTTTGAGTCTACATTTTTTTGAACGAAACCAGAACAACGGAGTCTAATTAACTAAGGCCTTTACTGCACTTAATCTACACAATTTTCTGTTTTCAGTGACAACTTTAGAGATAATAAACAAATATATGGAGAAGATGGAAACAAAAATTGACGGTGGTGATTTAATCTGATCGATCGCTGATAGACTGATAGATTATTTAAATAATTAAACATTAATATTATCAGATTTTATTAAATACTAATAAAATCAGTATTTTGATAATTATATTAACATCAGTAATTCAATTATCATTTATTTGCCTAGTATTTCATAAATTATTTATTCAACCTCACCTGGGGGCGGTCTCAGACCTTCCCTTCCCTCCAGCTGCATCTGCTGCATTTCTGAGTCTGTAAGATGACTCTGCAGGGCAGCAGGGTCTGCAAGATGACTCTGCAGGGCTGCAGGTCTGAAGGCATCGTCCGAAGGCAGGTCATACATGTCTGGCTGTAGAACTGCAAAGATGCCTATGTGTTTACATTCAATTATGATGTATGATGTATGAGTACATGTCGATTTGCTTGCATTTCATATGATTATTCTACAACTACAGGGTGAAGCAGAACCGATTGAGCAGTTTTGAGGCGAAATAAAAGAGTAATGGAGGTACATAAAGAAGAAAGTTACTTCTTCTCGAGGTTAGCATAACATGCCATTTAGAATACTTATGTTTTGAAAACAATATCAGGAAGATGGTGGCCGTTAGCTGCAACACACTGTTGGAGTCGTTCTCGGAAGTTTCCTACAGCACGTTCAAACATATGGCGAGATATGGCCATAACCTCTGCAATAATCCGTTCGCATAGCTGTGGTAGGGTGTGAGGGCGACTTCTGAACACCCTTTCTATTAGATGTCCCCAAAGAAAGAAATCGCAAATGCTCAAATCAGGTGACCTCGCAGGCCACTGTAAATCACCCCTCAGAGACACCGAGAACGACTCCAACAGTGTGTTGCAGCTAACGGCCACCATCTTCCTGATATTGTTTTCAAAACATAAGTAATCTAAATGGTACGTTATGCTAACCTTGAGGAAAATAAACTTTCTTCTTTATGTACCTACATTACTCTATTATTTCGCCTCAAAACTGCTCAATCGGTTCTGCCCCGCCCTGTATTAAGAGTTATAATCCTATGTAAATTTTATTTATTATATAATTTATTTTTCATATGTTCAATTTGCCGTGTAGTAGAACTAAATCCGGTGGAGATTAACATTTTTCTCATAAATACAGTAATTTGTTGTGAAATTTTTATCGAATTTTGGTATTTAAATAAATTTAAATTCAAAAACGCAACCGAAAAATTAAAAATAAATCTTGATACCGTCATTCAATTTTATATTATTTTTTCAATTGCCAAATTTACCATTTTTTAGACAGATTTCTTTCAATAGCTATCATTTCCATTATTAAGCTACTAAAGTGCACTCTTTTCAACAGATATTTTCTCAAATATCTTGTCTGTATAAATAAATGCAAAAATTTTCAATTTTTCATTCAGGTGTTATATGCAGAATACTGTCAATTGTAATCACGAAAACTCTAGAAGCCGCCTCTCTGATAGTATTTAGAGCCGCATTATTGTTTTCTAAATACCGTCATTTGTGCTATTGGTAACTTTAGGGCCTTTAGGGCTGCCTTATTGTTCTCTAAATACCGTCATTTGAATTATTGGGAACTTTTGGGCCGCCTTATTATTCTCTATATACCGTCATTTGTGTTATTGGAACTTTAGGGCCGCCTTATTGTTCTCCATATACCGTCATTTGTGTTATGGGGAACTTTAGGGCCGCCTTATTGTTCTCTATATACCGTCATTTGTGTTATTGAGAACTTTAGGGCCGCCTTATGGTTCTCTATATACAGTCATTTGTGTCATTTTTAACTTTAGGGTCGCCTTATTGTTCTCTGAATACCGTCATTTGTGTTACTGTTAACTTCAGGGCCGCCTTATTGTTCTCTCTATACCGTCATTTGTGTTACTGTTAACTTTAGGGCCGGTTTTTGTTCTCTAAATACCGTCATTTGTGTTACTGTTAACTTTAAGGCCGCCTTATGGGTCTCTAACTACCATAATTTGTGTTACTGGAAACTTTAGGGCCGCCTTATTGTTCTCTCTATACCGTCATTTGTTTTACTGTTAACTTTTGGACCGCCTTGATTATTGTTCTCTCTATACCGTCATTTGTGTTACTGTTAACTTTAGGGCCGCCGTATTGTTCTCTAAATGCCATCATTTGTTTTATTGTGAACTTTAGGGCCGCCTTATTGTTCTCTAAATACAGTCATTTGTGTAGGAGCTTTAGGGCCGCCTTATTGTTCTCTAAATACCGTCACTTGTGTTACTGTTAACTTTAGGGCCGCCTTATTGTTCTCTAAATACCGTCATTTGTGTTACTGGTTACTTTAGGGCCGCCTTATTGTTCTCTAAATACCGTCATTTGTGTTACTGGTTACTTTAGGGCCGCCTTATTGTTCTCTAAATACCGTCATTTGTGTAGGAGCTTTAGGGCCGCCTTATTGTTCACTGAATACCGTCATTTGTGTTACTGTTAACTTTAGGGCCGCCTTAGTGTTCTCTAAATACCGTCATTTGTGTTACTGGTTACTTTAGGGCCGCTTATTGTTCTCTAAATACCGTCATTGGATGAGTAAGGAATCCTCGCTAGCAGGAATATGGCGAGCAGCAGAAGCGCTGAACCCGCAACTACGGCGGCCACGCGGCCACACTGACGCCACCGCGGGAACAAGCTGCACAAAATAAGACGTTTTGGTTAGTTTGATAATTGAAATTAATTTATTAACTAACATGAACCCAATGGTTCCACCGCGACAACAAGTTGCGGGAATTAATACGTTTTAGCTATTTAAAAAAAGCTAAAAAGATCTGGTCAAATGACACGATTTTAGATCTATGAACAAGGCACGAAAAGGAAAAGAATCGGCGACAGCCCACATCAGGCCTACACTTCAGCGCCGACATCACTATGTTATGTTATGTTATGTTAATTTGTAGATTGAAACCAATTTATAACTGAAACAAATCCAGGCACGTCATCGAGAAAATAAGCCGAACAAAATAACGCGTTTTAGTAAATTTTATGATCGAAAATTATTTATTAGTTAACTAAAACGCACTGACGCTGCCGTGGAAACAGAGTTTACAAATTAACACGTTTTCATTAATTAGTAAATTAGGTAAACTAAATTAGCACGAATGTAAATAAGTCGTGAAGAAGAGACGGACGATGACTTAGAGAACAAGCTCTTCAGTATAATTATGAAGGTAATTGATTTGATTGTTTTTATCACTAATTTAATGACTCTACATATTAAATTCGAATTTACTTCTGTACAAAGTTTTTTTGTGTTAACTTAAGAAATGATGAATATAATTGGGCATGAATGCATGCATAATCTTATTAGAAATCATGATAAAATCTGGCTTCGCAAACACGTCAAGGAATTGGAAAAACTTAGGCTTACCAGAAAAATATGTTTTTTTTAGCACGAGACACTTGCTTTCAAAAACATATGAAAGCAAGTGAATAAATAAATATAAATATTATTATAAATAAATAATAATAAATAATAAATATAAAATAAAGAAAGAATAAAATCAGTTTTTAGATGAGCCGGCGGTGGACTACAAGAAGCTGATAAAGCTGAATAATATAATTATAACAGTTGAAAAATGTGAATATGAAGTTAAACCTGAAAATCGCCCCAATTTCTCTCACAAATCAGAGAGAAAAATGTCTAAATCTCTAAAATAACATTCGAGGGACGGTCAAACGTTATAACTAATTGTTTTATATTTTTTCGGAACATAAACCAGTAAAAAAATTGAAATCGGTGCGAGGCATTTCAGCTGCTCGAGTCTAAACTCGCCTGGCTTTGAATTATAAGCCCGGGGCCATACTTTCAAAATTCGTTAAGTGAACGTAAGTACTGATGTTCTATTTTCTTGTCTATGATTGGTGGATTATGCTTAAAAGGCCGTTAATGATTGGCTGATGAACTTACGATCTCTTAACTTTTTTTTAATTATAAGCCTGGAGCGAACAGCTGAAAGTCATTTACGGCTCCCATAAAACTCAATCTCTGGCACATACGCAGGGAAAAATTGCCATTAAAAATATTCATTTTTATGTTATTCTGAGGAATGTTGCGTGATTACTAGGCCTACGCACGGATTACACGCAGATAAATGACATTTTTCTGCGCGTGCATCACAGGCATAGGTTATGATATTGTAAGAAATTACTTACGCGGGTATCAATACATTAGGGTAATATATTTATTGCGCACCGAAGGTTAAATTAGCTATCTCATGTATTAGGGTTGTTAACTCTAAACTCCCATCACTGATGTGTACGAACTAATTGCTGTTATTTCATAATATACTAATTTAAAGTACATGATCTGTAGCCGTATGGATTTGTAGCCGAAGAAGAAGAGCCAACTAAAAGTATTTCAGATATATAAAACAATTTCAGGTTGTGCGTCCATGAAACAGGTCCAACATGTGGGTCACTATGTGGGTCAACATGCGGGTCAACATTTGGGTCAACATGTGGATCAACATTTGGGTCAACATGCGGGTCAACATTTGGGTCAACATGTGGGTCAACATTTGGGTCAACATGCGGGTCATCTCCAGGAAAGGTCAAGAAAGTGACGCAACCATGTTGCTCTGAAGGAACGCATGCAAGCAGACCCTTATAATTATGAAGCAGACCTTTATAATTATGAAGCATACATTGATAATTATGAAGCAAACCTTTATAATTATGATGCAGACCTTTATAATTATGAAGCAGACATTGATAATTATGAAGCAGACCTTCATAATTATGAAGCAGACCTTTATAATTATGAAGCAGACATTGATAATTATGAAGCAAACCTTTATAATTATGAAGAAGACCTTTATAATTATGAAGCAGACCTTTATAATTATGAAGAATACATTGATAATTATGAAGCAGACCTTTATAATTATGATGCAGACCTTTATAATTATGAAGCAGACCTTCATAACTATAAAGCAGACCTTTATAATTCGTTCCACTTCAAATTTAAAAACTTATTAATTTGTAGCACACATATTCGTACGAAACGCAAGTGTAGCTCGCTCAAGCTTCCAAATTCATTTTTATCGAATTTAAAGTTCAAAGCTAATTTATATGAGCACGTAGACTCTATTGAAAACATATTTGAAATAGAAATTGAAAAACAATCAAAGGAAAGGTGTTTCTCTATATATTGATGAATGAAAATATTTATTCATGTCCAACCAACTCAGCACAAGAAAAATAATATTTTATTTATTGGTTAAAATCTTCAAGAAAAATAGTATTTTATTTATTGATTAAAATCTTCACTATGTGGGAACAATTAACATATATTTAGATGATCTGTAGAGTACAGCATACATTATCTTTTCATTGCTGAATAAACTTAGCATAAATTTAACAACTATACATGCAAGTGGCTAGCTTATTGTGATATTATATTTTCATGCGTGATAAATTATGATACTATAATCTATGATATATTATGATGCTATCAAAACTTTTAATAGCGAAACTAAAATATGTATTTAAATACGTAATTCATGCTCATTTGATATGAACAAAACCGAGATAACTAATAACTTTTTACCCCCGCAGGGTTTCTGATCCGGTCACGGGTTGACGGAACAGGGAAGTGATCCAACACTCATTAAAATGAATGATGATTTTTGTCAAGCTGTGTCCAAATTATTTTTCCTTATCCAAGCACGAGCAGACGTGGCACCAATGTACATTTTTGTCCGGCCAAACTGGGTCAGAATGACCCACACAATAAGAAGTACAACGCAATTTAGACAGAGTCTCATTAATTTCTCTGAGTGTTAAGTAAAGGCAGTCGGCCCGGTTTGGACCAGACGTTCAAGAATATTTTTTATCACAAAGAAAGTGAATTAATAGAATTAAACTCTCTCCAGTGGTTAGTAGGACAAACTTTTTTTCCTGGCCCTCCTATGTGGGGTTTTTTTATCTGCAAATGCACTGCAGTTTTACTACTTGAAGTTTTAAAAATTTATATAAATTCAAGTTTTGATAGAAACTAAGATTTTTTTATGTAAACAAGATCACCAAGATTATGCTGCAAGATCACCTTACGTAAATAATGTTTAAAATTTAAATCTGACATAGCGTATCTGAAGTATATTTTTAAACCTATAAATAATAAATTCCGATAAGTAAGAAGTAATGCAGAATCTCCACGCAACTTTAATGCGGTAAAGTAATGATTAATTTGTCCATTTACAATTAATGGTTAATAATTTTTCATGACAAGTGGCAGTTTCTCTAATAATTACAATGATTATTTAGTTATTTATTTAGCTACGGATATCAGTTGAATACATTTAGCGCTTGAAAATTTCAGGAAAATTTCAGACTACATATGCTACTATTTCTGGCGATACTTTACTAGAAAATAAACATAATTCTAGATATAATTCTAGTTTACAAGCATAAAATTTGTTTATAGAAATACGAGTTTTCGGATTGCAGAAATTTCAATTAAATTTAAAAAAGAATATTGTGAACAGTTAGAAACTTTTAAATATAATCGTGATCCAGTGATTGATAAACCAAATTAATATTTCATATTAATTTAATATGCAAATTTGGTTTGCTCTACAATTAACATTGTTCGATTTAAATTAACGTTACATTTTATTCCTATGAAGCTGCTTGCATAGCGTGACAAAATACCGCGATAACATAAATCATTTCCAAAAAACTTGTTTTTGAAGTGAAAGTTTCATTGAAAATCTTACATCGGTTCGGCATGAGTACCTACATCATGCAGAGACGGAAAGCACTCAGAAACAGAATTGGTAATATTGTCTAGAAAAATAGTTGGGTTATCTTTTCCAAATAATGACACACTTTCAGCACACAGCACTTCTTTTATTAATTATATACGCCCTTTTGCCAGGTCAAACTGGAAACAGCAATTCTGCATCGCAATTCGAATAAAATCGCCTTCATTTTTCGGATGGTCCGTATATAGATGCGAAATAGATGAGTGAATATAACAACATTTTCACAAATAGATATTCGCCGCATTTACATTTTATTAACCACTGAAAATAGATAATGAAAAAAATACAAGTATATGCGAAGTATCCATAACGTCATAGGACCTTAACATCGTTCCGTTATTATGCATCATGTATCGAAAATAACATGACAATCTTACTTATAATTTGAGCAAGAGAATTATATTATAATAATTATGTCTTCTTGTGTTCAGGAGGAAATTATGTTATCAATAACAGAAATAATAAAAATGCTTGAATTGCCAGTGAAATTAAATTTATTTAAATTTCCACCATAAATCTGTAATGTTTGCAATTTTTTCAATTTAATGCAGAAATGATTTAATTATTACTGATCTATATCGCATCTTTACCATTTCGTGACACTGGATTCTGTTTCTTTACGTAATCAACACTCACAGAAATAAGTGATACTTATTACTAATATCGATGCACTTATGTCCCTTGTTTGCGTCACCCTAACTCAGTTTGACCCGGCAAAAGGATGTAGCAGTGCTATACGTGCATTACCAGTGTCAATATTTGGACAAAGAAACCCATTACATTTCTGATTGTACAGCAAAATTCCGAGTCCAGGGATGATATGGAAAAAGTTAATTCAAGTCGCCAGGAACGAAAAAATAATCTACTTCGACTTTTATAACTTCCCG